AGAGATTCAAAGACAACGACGGCGCACATTTCTCAGGTCATTGGATGCAAGGTGTCTAGCAAACATCCAAACCAATTCAAGGTGAGCTCATTCTACAGATTGCCGAGCAGGATCACACACCGAGGGCATAAGCTGACTTTGCTGTGTGCTACAGGTTCTCATCTACCGCGACACGGAAAGTAAGCGCTACGATTTTGAAGCCAAATCAGTCGAAGAAGCGCATGAGATCGTCGACGAGCTGAGGAAGGGTGTATCTCAAGTTATGGGCTAATGATTGCCCAACGAGCCCGCGTGAACAAACATGATTTGACATTGAAGAAGCGCATCATGTATGCGCTGTTCTTGGCCCCGCCACAATACGAGGTCCACGCCACGCATTCACCGCCACATCCGAGCACCGGCACTCGACTCAGTAACGTCCTGGTGTGTTGAGCGGGAGTCGCGGTCAACGAACGAGAGCTTGCAGGTTCCACCACAATGCTGACATGGCCCGGGATTCGGTTGGTCGGGACAGAATCCGCCCCCGAGAAGGCCCCCGGCTTTGGGGGGGAGGGATTACGCGTCACCGCAATTGCTTCGCTGCTTATTTTGGGAAAGTGGGCTACGGCTGCAATGACGAGAGGCACAAGAATTATGTAATGTACCAAGTGGAAGCACCGATAAACTGGGCCGGCCAGGCTCTCGCCGAGTGGCAGAGCAGGACCAGGCAAACAAGGAAAACAGGCACGAGGAAGCTCATTGGCACAGCACACTCACCACCACAAACAAGTCGAGTGGAGGGATTGCTGTGTGGGGTACATGTCCAATTAAGGTTCGCATCCTGGCTCCTGCGTCATGCAGATCAATGCGATTGGAGCCGCGGGCCGGGATGCTTGGCGCCGCGGTTGCGCTCCCTGCTGAGGTCGGGCTGGGCGAGGCTGGGCACTCTCGGTTGGGAGGGGATGAATTGATGGCACGATGGATGAAGGGGATGAGGCGATGGGAGAGAAGAAATGGGGATTGTCGCTCATGAGCTGACTTTCCTCACCTGTCCCTGTCCCCCGCCTTTAGGACCCCCCGGCCTAGCTTCACCAGGTAGCAGACAGACAGAGAAGTGGAAAATGGCAATCCACATTGAACAAACACGATGGATGAGAGCTGCGTGCCAAGGGCTTACTCTGTGCAGCAGAGCTCGCAGATCGTTTCTTGGGGCTCGTCTCAAAAGGTGGTGTCTGTTTGCACACCGTGCTACAGAAGTAAATTAAATCCGGAGATGCTGCTGCTGCTGCAGTGCTACGGATAAGTGTACTCGGCGAGAGATTATCCCTGGCCCCAATATCATCCGAGGATGGACGGTCCCGAGGTCCTCTGTATTGTGGGACGATGTGGAACATTGGTGGTTTATCCCGATGTCGCTCGCCGTTTTCTGTTGTTTGTGTTGTGGTCATGCTCACCGACAGCTTAAGGTCTAGGCGATCACTGATCAGGATCCCCAAAGGCTCTCAAACCCCTTTATCCAAGTCTTCTTTGAGCGTTTTATGCAAATACCGTTTTTTTCCTAACGCAAACGTCCAGGCGGGTTTTCCCACTGTCTCAAGGGAGGAGGACGTTGTCTCACATGCAGGAGGGAGGCTATGTTACGAAGATTCCGAGTCATTATTGGTTTTCCCGAAACGAAGCTAGCAGACGACGTACAGAAGCCGTGGAAAACTAGAACGAAAGGCACTGGCTACACACACTTGCTGTGACGCGGCTGGGAGCATTGGGAAAGAACGAAGAAGAACTTGTGCCAAATCGCGAGGCTGCATGGACCTCACTTTAATCCGAACTCAAAGTGCTCTAGAGGCTTTTGAAACGAACCGGTGGCACATCAAACGGGTGCACAACACCGACCTGGAGTGACGCAATTGGCGTCCGGCTCGGCCAGATGGCCTGGCCCTAAGGTAAAGGTGCATGTTGACGCGTCAGGCCAGGCTGCGCTGCGTGCTGTATTACTCCCCCAAGGCTGAGCTGAAGCAGGCTGGATGTAGGGGATGGAATCCTTTTCTAAACTCCGTGGGTGACAGAAGTTTGCTGACGGTGGACGGCTCTGTGACCGAGACGAAGTTGAAGCCAAGCGACGATACCAAGCAGTCCCAAGAAGCTCCAGGCTTTGGTCTATCCATTCAGACCGGTTCCCCAACCACCCTTTCTTTCTTGCAGATGCAGACATGGGGAGGGAAATTTCCCCAGCCGATTGACCCCAACGTCGGCCTTTCGTCCCCTCATTCAACCGAGAGGAGCAAGTGCTAGTGTGTCCCAGGTCCTGCGAGCGAAAGGAGCATTTGAATGCCCCAAAACAGAAGGACGAGGTTCTTTTGGTTTGGAGACTCCAACGACTTCGACCTAGGAAGGCCATTGAGGTCCAGACGGGCGGTGCCTGTCAGCGATACGTCATTTGCATGATCCTCCGCGCCGAGCGTCCGTGGCGAGCATCATGTCTAGGTAGTCTAGCGAAATGTCCGAAACACAGACGCAGGTTTTCCTTTCCAAGCTACTGCCTCTTCATTTCAAATCTCATCAAGCGAGAAACCGAGGCCTGAGAAAATCTGATGTTGAAATTTTTTTGGGAGGATGAACAGTGATGCGTCGATGCTTTGACTGAACCCCGTCCGTCCGATGGTCTCAATAACGCGCTCCCACGCCCCCCTGCGTCCCTGCGTAAATCCGCGTGCTGCAGCCAGACAGAAGTTTGCTGGTGTTTTTGCCGCTGTTATTACCAAGAAAAACTGCACTGCCAGCTGACATATCGACTGCCATACCATGTCTTTGCCGTTTGCCTTTCGGCTCGCATGGTGTCGGTGCAACGCGACCCGTTGAATTGGGTGCAGCGATCCGGGGGACCGGCCCAACATAATCGGGAATGTTACGTCCTCCCGCGGGCTGTGTGCGTGTGTGCGACTTTTTTGTCGCCTCCAACAACCTTCCTTCAGCTCCAGCTTTATTTTCAGCTGGCTCGAAGGAATATGGGAATGGATGGTGGAAACGGAGGAGGATCGGACCAGTTATTACCTCGCATCTCCGTTCTGCCGTTTGCTTTCTTTTCCTTTTCCCTCACTGTTGTCAGCGTTCGGTGCCTGCGGCTGGCATGTTTCACAGCACTGCCCGCAAGGGGCGGGGAGCAGCAACTTGGAGCCTCGCCATTGGCGTGCGAGACCGCATTGAATTGAAGCAGTCTGGAGGAGCTGTGTCCGTACCTATCCGAGTTGTGCGAACTGGCAAACAGAACAATAGGTGGATGGAGAGAAAGAGAGACAGTGGCAGAGACATGGCGGCCGGCAAGGCCTTGTTTCTCCAACGCCCTGACCCGCCTCGCCAGCATCTCCAGCCAACCAGCGGCGGTTATCATCTCCACCTCCTGTCGATCGTCCACGCTTTCCCACCCCTCGCCTCCGCCGCGCAACCCTGGTCCTGGAGCAGTTGCTTGCCTGTCCCAATGGTGTCATTGGGCCATGTGTCTTTTGGTTGCCTTCCTTGTTCCGTATTTCGGTACTCGAATATTGGAATCCCGTTTGTCCAAAACTCCGTAATGATGTAACGGTGTTTTTTTCACCCTTCCCATGTCACCATTGTCCACCGCGACCCTGCCGTCATCGCCTCAATGCTAATGCTGCTTAGACAACCCATCTCCATCCTATTGACTCGTTGCATTCTCCGTTTATGATGTACGCGAATCGTCCCAAGTGGATGATGTGGGATGGAAGAAGCAGAAGGAAAATTGGAATAGTCTGCAGAGACGTACCTGTGGAATGAATGGATGATGGCCGAGGTTGGGGCTACCGCGTGGCTTTGCTACCCGTGCTTATTGATTGCTATCTTTGGGAACGCAAGGCTTCCCAGCGACATCAACTTCGGGGAACAGCCGTTGATCGCGACGGAAACCCAACGCCACGATTCGTTCGATCCGAGATGGGCTACATGCGTAGCACCAAACGGGAGGCGACTTGGAGGTGCTTTGGTCCAGTTTGGCTAGCGTAGCGTGCACCGTTCCGTTGGGGTGAAGGTCTCGGATTTTCCACGTCGTCTCTTTCGCCTCCAACGAATCTTTTGGTGCCTTCTTTGGTGCTCGGAACCGCACATATGGAGCTTTGGTTAGAGCGAAGCGACCATTTCGTCGTCTCTCCCCAGAATGACGAGCATCGGATTCCGTCACCGACGCGGCACCGCTCACATGTCCTCCGTGCCAATGGGCAAAAGATCCAAACGGGCCATGATCCCCGTCTCAGACACGCAGGAAAAGCTGGCGGACCCCAAAGCCTGATGTGATGTCCATCTCCAGAGAGAGCAAGGCAAGGCAAGCTCTCGTCTGCTCGCTTTCCCGTGCTGGAGGACTGCATATTGTTGCCGCGGGGATGACGTGAGGATGTGGGTCTCCTCCGTCCTCCCTTCTCGCTCTTTCCGCCTCCTTCTCCATCCAAGGCAGCGCATTTCGACATGGGTCCCGCCGCACGGCACCAGGGCTGAGTTGGGGAGCTGTCGATGGCGGTGGTGCTAGTGGTCACCCGGGTACGTACCGTTTCCATCATTCGTCTGTCGTGTGTACCCATCCGTATTGTGCCAGTCTCGGAGTGCCACCCGCGGTCCGCTAGGTCGACGGCTGCCTCTAGACTGTTTTCCCATTCGCCTTCGAAGGGGGGGCGTGTGGTTCATGGACACGCCAAGCATGTGCCTAGCATTGTGGAGGATTCAGGCGGTGGTGGTGCCTGGCCTTTCTCCTTCTCTCTCGGCAGCAAGCAGAAGGACCTAGCCGATGGGGGTGTGTATACGTGGGAGGACGGGAGAGACAGACACGCCTCTTGGCGTCGAACGGCCTGTCGAAAGATATATAAGACTCTTTTCCATGAGCCCCAATGTTCATCTGGCTCTCCTCCACTTTACCAATCAACAAAGCTGTACTCTATCCGTTCCAACACCAAATCCATCAATCTCTAATCACCAACTTTCACTTACAACCTTAAACACTAAACCCAACCACCATCAACATGCGTTTCTCCGCCGCTTCCGTCCTCGCCTTCGCCGCTCTGGCTGCTGTAAGTTGACCACGCTCACTCTACCGAATACCCAGAGAACTAACACACCACCCAGGCCCAGGCTGAGACCGTCACCGTCACCACTCCCACTCTGCCCTCCGTCCCGGGCGTCACTCAGGCCTCCTCCGTCATCGCCGGCGCCTCCAGCGCTCTCCAGTCCGGCCTCTCCTCCCTCTCTGCTGCTGAGTCCTCCCTCGGCGGCCAGGTCTCCTCCGCCCTCGAGTCCATCAGCGCCGGTGCCTCCTCCCGCGCCGCCAACCTGAGCTCCCAGCTCGCCACTGCCACCGGCTCTGCCGCCGCCTCCCTCTCCTCCGCCCTCGAGTCCGCCAGCGCAGACGCCAGCTCCGCCGTCGAGAGCGCCACTGGCTCCGGCTCTGCCCAGAGCACCACCGCCCCCGGCGCTGCCCCGGCTCAGACCGCTGCCGTCGCCATGGGTGCCCTCCTCGGTGGTGCCGCCCTCATTGCCAACCTGTAAAGGGGTGGCTTTGTTCGCGCGCGTCCTTCATTGCATGGGAATGTGATTTAGCGGAAATGATCGGCAAATCGGTGTGGTAATGGATATTACACAGCATTGTTTGGGAACCCTTTTTTAAAACTACCTTTTCGGAAGATATTATGATGTAATACCAGTACAACTTTGTACATCAAATGAAACCAACGTACATTTTGCACTTTTTGGCCTTCAGACACTTCCCGTGCATGCATTTCGGGTGACTTGTGATATGTTGACAAGTCTTGGGTCATCGAGATTTCCGCCGGGAAAGGCTCCGCCGTGTTACGCGCCTTGGCCAACCCCAACCGCTTGGCGCCAGGAGTGAGCCACCTCGGACGAATATTGGCAAAGGGGGCGTCTGCCACATCATACTCGGCAGAGCTGGAGAAAAGCCTGTCCACCAGCTGAGCTTCGCGGCGCAGCTGCCAAAGTACCTCGCCAGAGTCACTTAACGCAAGGGGATGATCTCATGTATAACCGTCGCGCATTGTCTCCTGCAGTTTTGGATCGTCTTGTATTGCTTGCTGCACAAATGAAGATGAGGATCTGCCTTCGGGGTAAATGGCTGCTCCGTCGCAATAGGCGCATTTTCTCCGGATGATTCCAGGATGATGTGACAAGGACCACGCTTGTGGTTTGTTCTGGGCCGTACTTCGTATCCGGAGCCATGCGCGTTGTGCTCGTTTCCAATGTCGCCCTTGGTTCGGCAAACAGCACCCGCACCCCAAGGCTTTCAGCCACCTTGGCTGCACCAGCCCCCAACTGCTTCAACCAGTGTTTCACAGTACGAAAAGCAAAGGTGGAACATACGACTTGCGCTTGATGATGATTGAAAAGTAGTCGAGACAAGGAAATCCAAGGTTCTATTCCCTTCTCCCTTTGATTGCGCCGAGTAAAAAATACGTAGTGTGGTGGTCGGATGGCCTCTGTTACGCCTTCGACCGGGTATCTGCCCATAACTTGTCGATAATCTGGAAAATCGCCGTAATGTCCTTCATGACAGCGTCGTCGACCTGTCCGCCGAGTCGTTGCTGCATCTTGTCCGGGTGCCACCGGACACGTTCTTCTCGCAGTTTGCCGGCGAACTCCTTCTCGCCAATCTCCTCCACGGCCAATCCATTGACGATGAATCGGCGGACTTCCTTCTCGCTAACGTCCTTCTGGCGCCCACTCTCCACGGGCCACGGTATCGTGTCAGCGTCGCCGGTCCATTTCGCCCAGCCTTGCACGTAGTCCTCCCAAAGTGACGCCCACATCTTCTTCTGTCGCCTCTCCTCCCCGCGACGCAGACTACGCTCCATGTCCTCTTGTAACTTTCTATTCCTCTTCTCATCCTCAGACTTGCGCTTGCGCGCCTCTTCTCGTCGCGCCCGCTCTTCCAGCAGTCCTTGATGCGTCTTCTCCCACATCTTTTGCCTGACGTGCGTGGCATACTCCTCGTCCGTCATGCGCTCTAGCTCGCCTTGTGGGCCGGTCCGCTCGTTGGAGTAGACATGTATCGGCTGGCCGTAGACTCCCTGCCAGTACGCCGCACCTTCGTCGTCCGCCATGGCATCAAACAGCGATTCACGGAATGCTGCATCTGGATCGAGCGCCTGCGGTTCGTAGGGGTTCGGGGGTGTGGGCGATCGTGATCGTCTGCGGTGCCTCCGAGAGTGATGGTGGCGGCGGTGCGAGCGGGAGTCATCATCGTCGCCGTCGCGGTCGCGATGGCGGTGTGACCTTGATTTGTGCTTGGACTTCAGGCGGATGCGCGACGATCTCGGTTGAAGATGATCGTCATCTTTGCCCCCCTCATCCTTCACCTCTGGCTCCTCGGGTGTGCTTCGCTTCGTGCGCTTCGGTGCAGGCTCGTTGCCCTCATCCGGGTTTATCGAAGAGAGGATGTGCCGCCGGCGCGGCGAAGTCGGCGGGCTTGTCATCGCGAGCGTCCCATCAGCGCGTCTAGACGTGTGTCGTCGAAATTTGCGATGAGGATGGGGCACAAGGTTTCGCGGTTGACAGGAGCAAAGTTGGAGGGGTCGTCCTGGGAGTGACTTGACGTCGTAGGTTTTGGCTTATCTTATCGCGCGGCGTTGAAGGTCTTCCTTGTTGCGGGGCTTGGCAGTTGCCGTCCCTGGATCATTCCTGCGAGATAAGGTTAAGTCCGCCTCCCCGCCAGCAACGGTTTGGTACATTCCTCATGTACTTATCTTGAGGCTCAACGGAGTGCAACGTCGACTGATAAGGGACACAAATCGTCAATTGCGGTTGCATTTTGCGCCGAGATGCTTCCAGGCCCCTTATCTGTCGGCTCACGATATCGACTCCCGAAGTCTTCTCATGACACCGCGCATCACCCATGGTCACATCAGCGTCCCGGCTCAACAACCGATTCCGTAGACGGGATCGATTTTGGTATGTGTGTCGTTATTGCCTTCACTGTTGTCGGCACTTGGATAATTGAGCAGTGAATTGGGAGATCACAGGCAACAACAGACGGGGAGGAAAGAGGCAGGGACATGAAAGTGAGACGGGAGCAAAGATGGAGAGCAGGTAAGGAAGCACCCAGACGCCGTAGTGCCATCTTCCGTTCGATACTCAAGACTGAGTATTTAATTCAAAACTACGTCATTTGTTGGCGTGTCCTCAAATGTGTTTCTTGCCTTGCTCTAATGTCTGGCCCTCCATATCTACAAACATATCGCGTGAGACACAAGGACCTACTTCCAACCCCAAAGCAAACACCGCCCTAGGTAGATGGTCGTGATTAATGGAAAAGCGTCAGGGCAAACTAAGTCCATCACCAACAAGGTCGTCCACTACACCCACCATTACCTCTATCTAAGTTTCAGGCAGACAAGGTAGGTTTTGTACTCTGTTTAAAAGTCGCAAAAGCCTTTTTGCGGGATCTGCCCTTCCGATCCATGATTGATTGGCAGCGAGCTCTGCCCCAAGAAGCCGGTATCCCAGTTCACCCTGTACTGAAATCACAACACTCAAAACTCAGACCTTCCGATGTAAATACATTTTTCAAGTCCGTAGAAAATTCAACTGGGGGGAATTTTATTCACAAAAACTTCTTCTTGCACAGTCTCCAAGGCCAAAATTTCTTATTCGACAATCTACAACATGGAATTGCTCTCACGGGATGAACACTTGAGATTTCGGACAATGACGGAGCTTTTATCCCTGACGAACCACGTCTTCAAGCCTGAAACTCCTGACGAGATGCCTGATGATCGCGTAAGAACAGACCGCACCGCTATCGACGAGGCTACGTTTACACGTCCAGCTTTGCGAACATTCTCGCTCGAAAGGATGAGTTCGCTGCCACCGCTCTTCTCGATATGAATAGCGACTCGCCGAGGGGTGTGATAGTGGCAAGTTCTCGAACTGACACGTGCAGCCAGTCCGGAGCAGCATCAGAGAACAAGTCAGAGGCTACATTTGGGCAGGTGAGGTGCAGAGTCACAAACATCAACGGTGACGGACCTGCTAAGTCCCTACGCTGGGGATTCGATCACAGAACAGACCAATGGACCACATTTCCAGGTAAAGCACAACTTCATCGAACATGCCAGTAACGTTGTACGACTCCTCAACCGCATGCGAGATGCTCGCACGGCCGACACTTTGCAACAGGCCACTACCCAGTTTCGCGTATATTGCACAATTGCAGGGTGCGAGAAGATGCAGGCACGCTTTTTTCGAGGCTCGAACCACCCAGATGGCTCAGACAAGACGATTCCAGACGGCAAGACGACTGAAAACGAGACTACAGAGAACGACGAAACCGAAGGACAGACAGAGCCAGACGAGATAAGAAAAATCAAGGCATCCAACGGCGGCAGCAGAAGAAACTTCTACAACATTTTGACGCATGACTTAAGCTGCCGTGTTTCTTCCAACAAGGAAGAGTGGCCTCCATTCGGACTCGGATTCCCGTCGCTCTCTGAATGTAGCTTCGCACGACTGAATCACATAATCCAATTCCTCATAGAAAATGGATACGGAGAGAGTATCGAAGACTACCACCCATCGGTCTCGAAGTGTTACCACACAACCAAGGACTGGGAGGCCTTTCATCACATCCTTCGATCACTGCTAGGGGCCTCTGCAGAGAAGCTGGACCGTCTTGTCTCTTCTAAAAAGGCGCATCACGAAGCAAGATCCAATGCGTCGAGGCTCGATTCCAAAAGACAACATCTACAAGATACCGAAATTTATGGGACTGGCAGTGGAGTTCAACAGCTGGATGTACATGCTCAACATTTTTGTGAGCAAGTTTCGCCATGCGCTATCATCGCACATGGATTGGCTCAAGCAAGAGTTTCACACGGATAACATGGACAGTTTCATCGCCTCGCCGCTATATCCAGGCGTCGCTGTTTACAACCCGTCGTCGTCTCTTGGTGAATACATCCTCCAGAAAGCTGGAGTGGGGCCATACTATGACCAGGCTGAACTTGGGCACGAAGCATTCGACCTCTCTGTCCTTGATCACCGGTCTCGTAGGAGCTGGCCAAGAGCTGCTATGGTGTATCTCGATAACATCACTGCTCATTCCAATGGCATGTTCGAGTTTGAGCCAGGCTCACTTTCTCTGAATGCCAAGGATAAAAGACAAGCGATGGATACACTGTCGAGAACGCGATTCCAGCTTGTTGATATCACCCCAAACGACGAGGATCACGAAAAACCCCCTCTGGGAGAGTTGCTCCGCACTTTTAAGCTATTCACGAAAACATTATCGGAAGACGACCAAAGCCAAATCTGTGAACTGATCAACATTGAGAGAAGAGAATCTGAGCCCCCAAGGGAAGACATCGATCTGGAAACATCATACTTCAGTGGAGAATCGCATCCTGAGGCGTACATAATCTGCCTTCACTTGCTGGCCAGGGAGAGGCGCAGATTGGGTAGCAAATTCACGGCACCTGCAGGCATCGTGCTTCCTGACAAGGAAGTGATAGATATCTTCCAGAAGAACATCACCCAAATTGCGGTGACCGGGCGTTGTTGCCCAGCTTGCGATCTGCTTATAAGATTCTATTCGAGAAGAGCAGGCGTGAAGGTAGTTCACTCTGAGGATTACCATGTCTGGATCCCTTGCTCTCTGCCTCCATGGATCCCTCGAGAAGCAGGCGCATATATGCTCAACTTTGTAGCTGAGGAGCTACGGGAACGATTGCCGGAGTTTATCGAACATCTTTGGATCATAAAGGATCTGCTGGAAGAGCGGAAGGCGAGTGAACATCAGGAATGAGAAGGGAAGTAAGCATTATCGAAGGAAGTCGGGGTCACATAAGTATCTGGATCATCCAATACGTAACTTGGACTGTTGGCTGGTGTTCCAGAGTCTCAAATAGATATTGGGAAGGCGAATGCAACATAGGAGGGCAGGTGTACAGGGTAAAAGGAGGCTAGAGCAACTCTATGAAAGCGACACAGATGGAACAAGTACTTTCCTCGGCATGGATCTCAACAGCCGTGATGAGTGCTTGCAGAAACAACCAGTGATCCACTTGATGGCACATTTATCTTCAATAAAGTGTCTTCATACCCGGATGAACGACCTTGCTGGCCTCTAAATCTTTGTATAAAATAAAGTCTATTCGTCCTTATTTTTTCTTGCCCATAAACTTGCTGTATTGTTGTCCCTCTAGCGTTTGGGTATCTCTTTCCGGTCCCATCTTTTCATTCCTGGCGGCTTCTTCAACCCATTTCTACTCTTCGTCCGCGCTTCGATCCTATTCGGGTAATTTGAACAACAACAGCGAGATCGCGACAGCGTCATGACGATTATCGACAACAGAGATGTCCTCTCACGCGATGAGATACTGAGACTTCGGTCCATAACGCAACTCTTGTCATTGACGAATGGATACCATCTCGACTCAGCCCCCCTCTTAGGCCCCCTTTTACTTGAGGACATGCGACTTCATATTGAAGGCATAGGTAAAGACGAAGGCTCCACGTACAAGGAGTGCGCAGCTTCCTTCGCAACCCTCCTCGTGCGAAAGGATGAGGTTGTCACCGTGATGCTGCAAGGGCCCAAGAGACCTTGTGGAGACGACCCTGCATCGGGCCATGCCGTCCTCTCGATCGCCGTGCGGAGTGCAAGCAATGACGAGCCTTCACCACAGGCGCTTCCCAAGCAGGCAGTCCGTCAAATGTTGCAGCCGGACGTGGAAGGCATTCCTGATGACGTTTCGGTGGCACATTACTATGCTACTAACATGGCGAACATCTCCACCGGCACGCATGTTGGGAATATCATCGATATCTTGAGAAAGTTGCAGACGGCAGGAACATATCAAAACTATGCCCAGGCTCTGGCAGCATTCCGCCGGTACGTGGCCATCTCATGCTGCGAGAAGATGGAAGCGGGGGCTTATCGACGAGGGGAGAACAAACGCAATTTCTTCACGGCTATCACGTCCGCCACGATCGCGGAGTGTAAGGAATATTGCCAAGGGGACGAAGGAGGAGCCCAGCCTTTTTCCGCAGAGCAACTCATGATCATGCAGGTGGTGGTCGCCTTTCTCCGATCCCAAGGGAAAGGCCCAGGTCTTGAGGTTTATCCGTACGAGAGGAATCCTTGGTACGACTTGGACGGCAGGAAAGCGTTTCATGCTGTCCTCAGTCGGCTCGTAAAAGGTTACTGCAATGCTGTCAGTGGATTAGTGGAGAGAAGATCTGATCGTGAGAGATGGAAGAACGACCGCACATATTTCGACCACAGCGCAGATCAGCTCGTCGCCTGGGCTTACCATCTTGCGTTGTTCCACCACATGTTCGAGCACAGGATTTACCAACACCTCCACTTACTTGCTCGCATATACAAGCTCAATTCCGCCTTGTGTGTTGAGTTAGAGTCGCCGATATACCACGAGTACCACAAGAAGGCTCCCGTCAGCGACACCGCCGACGGCCGAGGGAAGCACCGGAATTATTCGGATACCAACCCAGAGGGGGAAATATTACGTCACCTTGACGCGGTTTCAGAGTGGAATTGGGCAGATGCCAGCAAGCAGTATATTAAAAATCTCTCGCTGCATGTCCGCGCCATGATGGATTTCGTACCTAGGCACATGGATCTCAAGGTGAGGCCCGGGCAGGAAATCGTGTCAGAGATAGTGTGGAAGACACAGTTTCGTTTCTTCGAGGGTACGATAGACGGCGAAGACCGCGAGATGCTCCCCATCAGCAAGCTACTGGGCACCTTGAAGACACCAGAGGGCCGGACGAGATCAACGGAAACGCAGCAACATATCATGAGCTGGATCAATAGTCAACGCGCGGCGGTTTGCGAAGGCTCTGAGTATGACTTCGACGCCACGCACCATGACGGCCGTGTTCACCACGAAGCTACGATGCTCGGCATGCAGCACTTGCCCCAAATGAAACGGCCCCTGAAGTTGGTGGTTACTACTGAGCGGTGCTGCCCTACCTGCGCTTTTCTCTTCGAATTCTGCAAGAACGACGCTGATCGAGGACTTCTGGGCGTCGAGGTCAGTCCTGACTGGAGTGCGTGCTCCTTACCGTCGTGGATACCGAAAAAAGCTGGAAGATACGTTATGGAGCGGGCAGAAGACGTCCTTCAGTATCGATTGGAGACGATGGTGGCAAGGTACAAAGAAGGTGAAAACTTCAAGACCTGAGGCCATAGACAACATACATGAAGACGCAAGATAGCTGACCAACCTTGGATATCATTTAATGAACAACTTGATCTTACATTGTGGTTTAAGAAGGATAATCCGCAAGACCTGCTTGCTTTTCAACACGATTAAAACTGGATCATGCGTCGCGAATCAAGGATCCGGCCCACGTTCTGCTGGACAGCTTCAAAGCGCATGAACCCGCAGCTTTCACTTTCTAGATGATTCATGGTAGCGGCCAAGGTCGTGAACTCTCTTCTACAGTGCTTGTTGGGACAATGATAGAGCGATTGTTGGTGAACCGGCGAGTTGAGGTGTTGGTTGAGCGAGTTCAGCTTTCCGTACAAGTTACCGCACATGTAACACTGATACGCATCGTGTCTGTAGTTGTACGAGTTCTCGGTAGCCGAGTATGTGGGAGAGCCGTGGAACTCGAGCAACTTTTTGGAGATGATGCCGTTCGGGTCCCGGCGTCTGACGGCGAGATAGAGAGCATCGCGGTTGAGGGGCGCGTTGGGACAGCTTCCTCTTTCAAGATGGTGAACCAGGCCGGTTGCGGAAGCTCGCTCGACTCCGCAAAAGGGGCAGGAAATGCCCGATGCGCGGTGGACTCTAGAATTTAAGTGCTGACTTGTGTCAGACAATGGCTGCATCAAGGGATTGGGAGAGATATCTAAAGACCTGTTGGATAGCGTTCCAAGACGTGAAGTCTCTGTCACAAGGACCGCAATGTAAATGGTCTTCCGCTTCGTGCTCTTCCTTGTCCTCGCTGTCAGCGAAATACTCATCGCAAGAATAACATTCAAATCTAGGTGGGGAATGGCCGGTAGCATCGCAATGCTGATCCCTAGCTCGCCATCCAGCATAGAATTGGCGATTACAAGTACCGCAGGTGAAAGTCATGGTTTCAACGTCCAATTTGCGGGCTTCTTTGCATGCAAAAAGTGAGTGGATGAAAGATGAAGCTTGTAATCGCATTCATGTCGCACGCGGCGGGGTTTATCTGTTGATAAACGTGTCACAAACCTTAGGACCAGGTCAGGGCTCTGACAGCTATCGGATCAGCAGAAGAAGCAATGTTGCTTCAGTTGCATTGACGGAAACAGATCAAACAACCAGCCAGTCAGGTCTTGGAGTGACTAGGGGTCCAGTCCGGCTTAAGCTTCAATTGAGCTTTCTTCTGAAATTGTGATGGCACTCTTTGCTCAGACTGTGGCAGTTACTGCGTAGGTAAGCAATGCAACGTCCTCTGCTGCCTGTTTGTTGTCAGGCATGTCGTCGCATCTCCACGAAGGCATGGTGGCTTGTTCTAGTAGTATCCGAGCGTCCTATCTTTCGCGTCCTCACAATACGTCGTCTTCGTAAACGCGGATAGGTCTGAAGGAAGGAATTGGGGATCCGAGTTGCCGACGCGACCTCTGCTGATGGATGGATGCGCGCGACTCAGCTACCAACCTGGCAGTACGGTGTAAGTACGGCGTAAGTGCGGCGGACTGGCTGCTGACTGGACAGGCTCCTGGGGTTGTGCATGCGTCGGAGGTACCGGATATGTATCGCGAAAAGCCGAATGCGGGACAGGCTTCAATGCAGGTCGTCATAGCTCCCCACTTTTCCGAGAGCTAAACTGCGGTGAGCCCTGTGACTGGCACCGCTGGATGTCGCTGTGGTCCTCCGAACCCGAGCGAACAGTGGGAAAGCTGACAAACCACGCAGCATCACTCACAGCGACCCTCGCATTTTGGAACTGAACCTGGACCGGCCTCTGCAGCACCGCAAGTGAAGTGGACCTCCACCACACCTTTCTTCCAGTGTCGCCTCTGCTCTGCTGCACCGTGACCCTCTCGACACTCGCGGCACGTCGCATCCCGATACCGTCTCGACTCGACTCGGTCGTCCCTCCAAAAACTTTTTTTTCCCTTTCCCTTTCGCTCCCACCGCCACGACAGAGTCGACCGTGACGTTTCCTGTTTTGTTTTCCCCTTCGCCCCGTGTACATACATACGAGTGAAAGCAATTGGAAACGGCCTGCGATAGACGAGAAACCCCACGCGATCGAAACATCCCCAGCGCTTCGCTCTGTCCACGATACCTTAGCATGCGTTGACAGGCGGGCCCGGGGAACCGCAGAGCATTCAACATGGACTATTCCGACTACTCGTCGCAGCGCGTGCTGCACACCGGATCGTTCACCGGATTCCATCGCATGGGATCACTCGGTAGCCACTATCTCTCCGCGACCGAGCATATCAAACAGCCGCTATGCGGCAACGAGGAGGGTTGGGGGCCATTGAGCCCGATCCGATACGACTTCACACCCTGCTTCATTGATGTTTGGATAGCCTCCGTCGCTGCGTTCGGTGTCGTCTTTGGACTGCTCGCAATCATCTGGCTTGTCCAGCGCAAGAGACCTTCCGACGCCCCCAAAGACTGGCACTTCTGGGCAAAGCAGGTAAGTCTTACTTGCGCCGAATCCCCCCGCTCCCCCCGGCTGACATGTCGCCTCCGCAGACACTACTTGGATTCATTATCGCCGATGTCATTGTACAACTCGTAATTCAAATAATTAGCTATCCCGGAGTCTGGTACGGCGATTTCAGATTCTGGACTACCGTCGGCACCATCCTCTCCCTCGGTGTAATCTTCTCCATCCAATGGCTCGAGCACGCCCGACTGCGCAATGCGAACGGCGTCGTTCTGTTCTACTGGCTATTTCTCCTGATCGCATACGCTGTAAAGCTCCGATCCCTCATCTCCCAGCAGCTGTACACCAAGAACGAGGCCTACTTCATCACTTACACAATCGGCTTCGCACTGTCCATCGTGGAGTTTGGGCTCGAGTGGCTTTGGCCCAGGAAAGTCAGCGCATACGAGGCTCTGATTGACGAGGAGGAGTGCCCGATCGAATACGCGACTGTATTTTCCCTACTAACCTTTTCGTGGATGACACCTTTGATGCGCTACGGCTACAAGCAGTACCTGACTGAGGACGATCTTTGGGGGCTTGCCAAGAAGGACCAGACGAAGAACACTGGAGACGCATTCCAAGATGCTTGGGAGATTGAGCTCAAGAAGAAGAACCCTTCGCTGTGGATTGCCATGTTCAGAGCCTACGGCGGCCCTTATGCGGTTGCCGCGCTCTTCAAAATCGTCAATGATGTCACCCAATATCTCCAGCCGCAACTGCTCAAGTACCTCATCGCTTTCGTCGATTCGTACCGCTCCGACAGCGACGCTGAGGAGGAGCCGGTCATCTGGGGTGCTGCGCTTGCGTTGGCCATGTTCGCCTGCGCCGTGCTCCAGACTGCCATGATTGTAAGTTGCTTTCCGAACATTCAGAAGACCCGCTGACTAACACGATGCAGCACCAATACTTCCAACTCGCCTTCGTCACCGGCATGCGTATCAAGGGCGGCCTTGCGTCTGCCATCTACAAGAAGTCCATGAAACTGTCCAACGAGGGCCGGTCATCTAAGACGACTGGTGACATTGTGAACTACATGGCTGTTGATGCGCAGCGTCTGCAGGATCTGACCCAGTTCGCCCAACAGGTCTGGTCTGCACCTTTCCAGATCATCATCTGCATGGTTTCCCTGTATCAATTGGTTGGCTGGTCCATGCTTGCTGGTATTGGTGTCATGATCATTATGATGCCTGCCCATGGCTTTATTGCGAGAATCATGAGAAACTTGCAGAAGGAGCAGATGAAGAACAAGGACAAGCGAAGCCGTCTCATCAACGAGATCATCACCAACATGAAGAGCATCAAGCTCTATGCCTGGGGTGCAGCCTTCATGAACAAGTTGAACTTTGTGCGAAATGACCTTGAGCTGAAGAACCTGCGCAAGATTGGCGCTACTCAAGCTTTCGCCAACTTTACCTGGAGCACTGCTCCCTTCTTCGTGTCTTGCTCTACCTTTACCGTGTTCGTGTTGACGCAAGATAAGCCCTTGACGACTGAAATCGTCTTCCCAGCACTGAGTAAGTTCTTGTCATCGCCTCTTTAAGGATCAAACACTGATCTCGTGTAGCTCTCTTCAACCTCCTCACTTTCCCCCTGGCTGTTCTTCCTATGGTAATCACCTCCATCGTTGAGGCCAGCGTTGCGGTCGGTCGTCTGACTGACTTCCTTACGGCTGAGGAGATCCAGCCTGACGCCATTACCATCAAGCCCGCCCCCGAGGAGATGGGAGAGGAGACCGTTATGATCCGAGACGGAAACTTCTCCTGGAACCGTCATGAGGACAGGGAGGTCCTCAGGGACATTGACTTCACCGCCTACAAGGGCGAGTTGTCCTGCATCGTCGGCAGAGTCGGCGCGGGCAAGTCTTCCTTCCTTCAGAGTATTCTGGGTGATCTTTGGAAGGTGAAGGGTGACGTCCAAGTTCATGGAACTGTGGCGTATGCTTCTCAGAGCGCTTGGATCTTGAACGCCACGGTGAAGGAGAACATTGTTTTCGGTTACCGATATGATTCCGAATTCTATGAAAAGACTGTCAAGGCCTGTGCGCTGCTTGATGACTTCAACCAGCTTCCCGACGGCGACGAGACTGTTGTCGGTGAAAGAGGTATCTCTTTGAGTGGCGGTCAGAAGGCTCGCGTTGCTTTGGCTAGAGCAGTTTATGCTCGAGCTGACATCTACCTCTTCGACGACGTCCTGTCCGCCGTGGATTCGCATGTCGGTCGCCACATCATTGAGAATGTCCTGGGCCCCAGAGGTCTCTTGAACACCAAGACTCGTATCCTCGCAACCAACGCCATTGCAGTCCTTCCCGAGGCCAGCTACATCACTCTGCTCCGGGATGGTGAAATCGCCGAGCGAGGAACCTACAAGCAGCTTGTGGCCATGAAGGGCATGATTAACGAACTCATGAAGACCGCTGGACAAGACTCAGGATCATCTTCCTCGGCCAGCTCGAGCGGTTCCAGCAGCGAGACCTCCACGGTCATCGAAGCCGAGGGCAGCAGTCAAGAGAAGGCCGAGATGGAGGAAGCCCAGGAGCAGCTGCCTGAGATGGAGCCTATTAAGACTGGCGCTGCCATGCAGCATAAGAAGCGGTCATCGAGCATGGCAACTCTTCGCCGTGCAAGCACCGCCAGCTTCAGAGGCCCTCGTGGCAAGCTCACTGACGAGGAAGTCTCCGGCAGCAAGACCAAGCAGGCCAAGGAACATTCTGAGCAAGGCAAGGTCAAGTGGGATGTCTACTTGGAGTACGCCAGAAACAGCAACGTTATTGCTGTCATCATCTACCTAGTGACTCTTGTTGCCTCCCAGTCGGCCAACATTGGTGGTTCTGCTTGGCTCAAGACCTGGGCTGAGCACAACGCCAAGTACGGCGGCAATCCCGAAGTTGGCAAGTACATTGGCATCTACTTCGCATTTGGTATCGGATCTTCTCTCTTGACTGTCTGTCAAACACTCATCTTGTGGATCTTCTGCTCTATCGAGGCGTCACGAAAGTTGCATGAAGCCATGGCCAATGCCATCTTCAGGTCCCCCATGTCCTTCTTTGATGTCACGCCTACGGGGCGCATTCTGAACAGATTCTCCAGGTTGGTAGCCCCATTCTCTCGATATGCTCCAAACAGAAACTAACATGCATCCAGTGATATCTACAGGGTTGATGAGGTCCTCGCCAGGACATTCAACATGCTTTTCGTGAACGTTGCTCGCTCCGGCTTCACTCTGGGTGTTATCGCTATTGCCACTCCCGCTTTCACTGCTTTGATTATTCCTATCGGCCTCATGTACTACTGGATCCAGCGATACTACCTTCGCACTTCCCGAGAGCTCAAGCGACTTGACAGCGTTACCAAGAGTCCGATCTACGCTCACTTCCAGGAGTCTCTCGGAGGTATCTCGACTATCCGAGCCTACCGACAGCAGCAGAGATTCGAGCTCGAGAACGAATGGCGTGTCGATGCCAACCTCAAGGCTTACTTCCCCTCTATCAGCGCCAACCGATGGCTGGCTGTCCGACTGGAGTTCATCGGTGCCATCGTCATTATGTCTGCCGCTGGTTTTGCTGTCGTCTCCGTCGCAAGCCACAGCAACCTCAGCCCTGGTCTCGTCGGTTTGGCCATGTCCTATGCCCTGCAGATCACCACATCTCTCAACTGGATTGTCCGCCAGACCGTAGAGGTCGAGACGAATATTGTTTCAGTCGAGCGTGTTCTGGAGTATGCCAGACTGCCCAGCGAGGCCCCTGAAATCATCAAGAGCAACAGGCCTCCTGTTGCTTGGCCCTCCAAGGGCTCTCTTGAGTTCAAGAACTACAGCACTCGCTACCGCGAGGGTCTGGATAACGTGCTGAAGAACATCAACCTCGACATTAAGTCGCACGAGAAGATTGGTGTCGTTGGCCGCACGGGAGCCGGCAAGTCATCGTTGACACTGGCATTATTCCGCATCATCGAGCCGACCGCTGGTAACATCAGCATTGACAATCTGAACACATCCTCCATTGGACTTTTGGACCTCCGTAGAAGACTTGCCATCATCCCGCAAGACGCGGCCCTTTTCGAGGGCACTATCCGGGACAACCTGGATCCCGGCAACGTGCATGACGACACCGAGCTTTGGAGCGTGTTGGGTAAGTAATACAGAAAAAACGGCCGTCCCTCACCGACCCAATCGTCAAGAAACCCCGCCCTCACCCTCCATGAGAGGGTGTCTTTACCCCTCCTTCACCGCGAATTGGAGCTAATGCGCGGTGCTATCACAGAACACGCCCGGTTGAAGGACCACGTATCAAGCATGGAAGGCGGCCTCGAGGCGAAGATTAACGAAGGAGGTGAGTTCCCATCAATTTCTGCGCCGCTTTTTATCGGCTTTGAGGCTTCGGCCATCCCACGTCCCCTCAGCGGCTGTCCACAGACCTGTGTTCCCGAATCACGTCGTGAGCTTTTCGCGATGTTGTATCGGGCTTTAGGGAGGCGGGGACAACAGTCACCTTTCACATGCATCCATCGCCGCATTCAGAGTCCCCTGCATGATCTCCCGCGCATGCAGTCAATGTCTCGTGCTGGCTTATCTCATCCTGCCCCGGTTCCTCTTCACCTTGTCTCGATCCGCAGACTGAATAAGCCGCATGTTCTACGGGCCAAGTGCTGACTCAATATCGCGTCTAGGCTCCAACCTCTCACAGGGTCAGCGGCAGCTCGTGTCGCTCGCCCGCGCCATGCTGACGCCGTCCAACATTCTCGTGCTCGACGAGGCCACGGCCGCCGTGGACGTCGAGACGGACGCCATGCTGCAGACGACGCTGCGCTCGCCTCTCTTCGCCAACCGTACCATCATCACCGTCGCTCACCGTATCAACACCATTCTCGACAGCGACCGCGTCGTCGTCCTCGACAAGGGCCAGGTCGTCGAGTTCGACACCCCTCAAGAGCTTATTAAGAAGCAAGGCGTGTTTTACGGGCTTGTCAAGCAGGCCGGTCTGGATACCGAATAGATGGGAGCCGGCTAGCTGATGGTAGCTGCCGATCTTACTTTAGAGAAGACGTTCTGCCTAACCAACAAGAAAAAGTTTTTTTACCAACTATGTGTGTGCTGTGAAAGGAGAAAAGGGAAAAGCGCGTGGAGTTGGTGTAACCCGCATCGATATGGCTGCGTTTGGCCTTCGAGCGAAGAATGGAGGGAGGGGAGGAGCTGTGTGTGGACATGTCATCATTCATCATGAAGCGCTTTGTAGATTTACTCTTCGAGACCTCGTCAAGCATCGCATCTACTTCCGGTGTACCTTGAACCCTTTGAGTGCGTGTCTGTGTCTGCCTGCCAGTATCCGACGGAGAAAACGGTGGTTGTCCGGGTAGTGCGTGCTTGGTTGTGTGTGTGTGATGTGTCTGTCGTCATTGAACGCACCCCCTCCCTCCTTCTACCTTCGCTACGTCCGGTCGGTCACCTTGCGGCTGGCCAAAGATGCTGTTCGTATCCGGCGAGGCGGTTATCCGGCGGCACACCCTTTTCTCGTTCGTCGCTTTGGCCCATAGAAGGACGGCATCGAACACACTCGTTCGCCTCAGTAGTTCATGAAGAAATGTGGGTGTTGTCCGGATTGCTTAGTTGCGTCCCTTCTTGTGTAACACACGTTCTGGCACACTTGACCGGAGAGCCGTCACTGGCTGAATTGGGATTTTTGGGTGTGTGGCGTGTGGTGGTGGTGTATGGGTGTGTTGTGTAACGTCAGCGTGGGCAGACGCGGCAATTCGTGGCTTAGTGGCTGCCGAGGGTTGGACGGCCGTTGGGTGGGACGACGATGATGTTGGTGCACGTCGCGTGGAGGTTGTGAGACGGGCGTAGGTAGGATGTGGTGTTTTTATTTGGAGGGGTGTGTTTCCGGCTTTTGATGGCCTCGGTCTTTGGTGGTTTTCTTGATTTAATATACGGGATTTGAGGGCCGGGTTTGGTGATCGGGCGGCTTCGTGACGGGAGGACTTGTTGGGGAGGTTGGAGGTCGGAGGCCGGCGATGTGTGGTTGTTGAGGACCGGACGGGACCGGGTTGATAGTTTCACGACTTGGATGTGTGTCTCTTCTCATGACTTGACCATGTGATTCAGGCTCCTTTGCGCCGTGGTCCTAACCTACCTACGTCACGGTCCGGGTCTCTATGTTGAGATGTCTTGAGGTTTCAAACCTGGCATGCCCGCCTGGACGAAGTCGGAAGTTTCCATGGTGGACATTATAACACCAGATTCTTCGTCTGAGCGTCGTGAAGTCGAACGTGGTTTTTGTTTGAAGCCATTCGTGAGATACTGTTCACTCCTGCCTGCATAGCGTCGCGGTATCAGATGTGAGTGTGGCTTCACGTTATGACATCCTGACGCAAGGCACTACTTCTCCTGTCGTCATTGTCAATTCTGTATTCTAGACGAACTTATCCAGCGGTGGAGCGAGTGCCGCTGGTCTTGTATCCTTGGTCACACGGACTAAATGTGTCACGATGGCATGCCTTGTCACTGAGATATTGTGATCTTCTTGTGTCGGCCCCTGTATCTTTGCCCGGAAGAGAATAACCGTTGAGCATCGGCTTGGGGTTTTGTAAGAATCAGTTATTCCGTACATGAACAGACCGGTATATTGGCATAGTTAAGTGATGGTGATGACGTCTGCGGGTGACGCTGGCTAACGGCGTAAGTCCTCTTACCTCATAAAAGCGTTGTATCAAACAACCCATTTGATAGAACTAGAATGCTTGTTGCCGTACACTTTCTTTCTAGATGCCTATGTCAAATAAGCGTATAAGTTAGGCATCAAAAGCTGCTGCATTCCATTTTCAGTGCTTGAATGCTTGTGTTCACCCGGGCACTCCCCGCCGTTCGTGAATATCTCCCGTTGGTTATACCGTTTGAATCCTCACAGCTCTTAGGTGATGACCCGTTCCTTCCCCTGTTAGCTCCAATGTCTTGGTGTTGGAGCTGAGAGCGTTCGGTGACTGATTTAGACACCGACACCTTAGAGAAGGCATTGGCGCGACCCGACTAAATGCTTCTGCCGGTGTTATTGAAAGTCAGATCTGGCTTTATGTGATGGATAGGCTTTCTCTGCAACTGCAGTCCCAGATCTGCGTGCTGCGCATGGCCGTCAACGAGAACATAGTAGACTTTGGCATATGCTTAAATGGAAGAGATTTGTCCCGAGAAGATCTTTAGAATGAACATCCACTGATTCATCGGACCAGTCTATACTAGAGTTCGATGGGAAAGCATACGGCAATCTCGAGTTTATTTGATCAAACCTACCGTTGTCGGTGCAACTGCCCTGATTTCGACAGAACTGATATCTTCCATCATCTTCTGGCGACCATGAGGACGAGTATTTCCCTAAGTGTTTCTGTGACTGGCGACGGAAATTCGAATTGCTTTGGCCCGAACAATACAAGCCCAAAGTCAATTTAAATAATAACGCAACATTTCCACAAGCAAGAAGCCGCCGGCTGTGTTACTTCAGATGCTGTGGCGCGGCCGGTCACACAACGGTGTTCGGATTAGGCATCCACCTCGTCCGCCTTCCTCCCCTCACCGCAGAGCCTCAAAAACACTTGGCCCAGCCCTCGATACCGTGCATATGCCCACCAAACCACGGCGACCCAGCCTCAAAGTTAGTTATAGAAAAGGAAAAGTCAAAAGAGAAACACATAGCTGAAGCTGGTTCAAAACGAAGGACTATCCCTACCATCCGCTAGACGCATTGGCAATGGTCTAGACCCCGTTGGAAAGCCAGGCCCAATCTCGTACGGACTACTTCGAAGTAGCCGCATGAAAATAGACGGAGGCATTATAATGCTGAACCATGACCCCTTTTATTCGTAGGGGTTCATGGGATTAACTCTCTAGGTAAGGGTTGTGCAAGCGCCTAGGGATTTCTAGGAAAATACGGGAGGCGCTAGAGGAGATGGTGGGACGTTCAGGTTCTCGCGATATCAATTCTCAGCAGCGGGATGAGTCAAAAGATGTCCGTGAATTTGGGATGCAGTGGTGGCTACGCGTGGGAGGAGAGCACAGTGGACAAGGAAAGCTCCACGAGCTTCAAGTAGAAGAGACAACGATAGGACATGACGAGGAGCAATTCGTATCACGCAAGATTCACAGATCACTTCTTACAAGGAGACACGTTTCTGCATCAAGAACAAGGCTTGCCCCACGAACAACTCGGCCTCGCCGACGAGGAGCTGGATTTCGGCGCGCTTCCGGCCTACCGAACACGACGTGAACAACCTCGAGACCGCCCAGCTTCCATAAACTAAAGTCTTCAGACAGGTCAACTCTAGTGCTTCAAGAAGAACCCCATATCGACCCGGCAGAAACCGCAAAAAAAGGCGCGAAAGGTTTAGCCCCTGAGCGTTTCTTGTCGTCGGTATCACGGCCAAGACGACCGAAGACGTCGCCTACGCCACCAGGGCCACGAGCTCGGGGCGATCACCCCTCTCGAGCCATTCAATACCACCATGTCTGTCTGTCTATGTCAAATTGATTCTTATCACCGCCACCTCCAACCCGTCTCCTTGTGTATGGCGTCGCAAAAGGGGGTTCGGTTCGAGTCGAGGATATGTCGGATCGATGGATGTCGAGGGTTGGTCGTGTCGGTAGGACTCAGTCAACGTCGAACAGAATATCTAGACGTTAAGAGGACTGATATGATCTTTGGAGATGGCATACGGTGCAACTGGATGGTCGACGGCAGTTGGTATCGAACGCGGGCTCGACGATGGTATCTAAGACGTCTCTGTGGAATCTGGAACTCAGTCAGCAGAGAAGGGCCCGTACAAGATGCCCTAGCCTTCAACTCCACATCAAGGAGACGTTGAATTCTTCGACAGTACTGCCTCGCAGGAGAAGACCGTGGGTGCTGATAACGTAGAGCTAGGAGTGAGGCGTACTGGAGCGCAGGTAGCCGGAGTGATCGCAACATCAGAGCCACCACTCACGGTTCTCGGCCGCGGTATTCGACGAGCAACCGCGAGAAGAGATGATAATGAACAAACAGATGGTTGGCTTCCAACAGCTAAATTGTTGAGGTCGAACATTTTGCGCTCGCTACGGCCCCCCACGACCCGGAGACCGCTCCGGCGCTCGCGTTTACGCATCAAAATCTATCACATTTGCTTCACCCGCAAATCTTACGCCCGGCCTCCAATTTACCACGGCCGCAGGGCTCTTTGAATCAATCACCTAGCAGAGCCGTTTGTCGTGCTGAGCTTTTCAACAGCCGACGGCTGGCTTGTGCGACGTGCAGATTAGACCGGCAAAATGTCGAACCCGTCCTGGGTCGCTGCCATCCATCCAGAGCCAAAGAGCGCGGCAGAGCACACGCCGTGGCTGAACCGACGATCTGTGGCTTGCGGCCAATGTCAGGGGCCATTGATAACCCTGAGTCTGGCCGTCATTACATCTCAGGTGACCGAGCTGATGACAATTTTCTGGGAGTCAGAGGCTCTCTGCGGCAGGATTTGGAATGTGTCCTGCTCCATGACGCCTAGTCAACAGGAAACAGCCACATGACCTGAGGCAAAGAGGTATCCATGATACATCGGTACCATTCTCCGCCTCTCGTTTCCAGCTCGTGAAGCCCCGAGTCTGGGCATCCCCGGCGCTCCATCCTGCCCACTAGTAGCCTGTGTCCCCTCACGTTGGGACTTTTTGATGCCTTGACATGTCACAACATAATAGAGTAACGACTACGTCCAAAAGATGGGGTTAAGAAAGTCTAGCGTCGCCGTTAATGCGTTCGGATCTCTCATATCGGGCGCACGTCTCCCATGGAACGCGATTGGTTTCCCCTGAAGCACTGGGGCAACACGCCGAGAAAGTACACGCCGTGCCAAAAACAGACGTCGACCAAGACGCTATCTACTCGTTTCGATAAACACACTTGGCTTGTTCCATCATGTCGAGTGTTGCAAATTTTCGTCGCGGTCCCCCCTTTACGGCGTGGTGGGGGCGTGGTGCGTGGTC